GCCATAAGACGTTTGCCATGACTGCACAGTCTGGACTGCCAGAGCTCTCAGCTTCCTGGCTACTTCTTTAGGAGGAGGGAGGGGCTGCTCTGAATCAGTCTCTACCGTCAGCTCCAAGAACTCCTGTGGGAAGAAGAGAGGCGGAGGAATAGATGAGGGGGACACAGAAAGAAAGACATCCTAATATTAAAGCTGAGTGTTTGTATCGTTCCTCTTTGAATGGGATTCACTGTACGTGGATTTATCCTACACAGATCACTTAGTGCGCAAACGTGAACCGATATCAGCCGAACAGCTAAAAAGACTTTCAGTTTGCCTTCGCGCCGTTACTTTTTTATTTTGTTTTTAGTGTTAAATAACTGTAAGACTGGGACCCGCTCACAACAAACATTCGACTCAACAGTTAGCAGTGCTAGCATGCTAATGGCGCTAGACAACCAGGATGTTTAAACACAAAAAATATCCTGGAGGCTCTGTCACAGGGTAGCATTTCTGCGAGTAGAGTTGAGGATATTGCCAAAACTGATATGATGGCTTTTGTAGCAGTGTGGTGACTGCTATAAAAAGCCACCATTGGCCTTATTCTGCCAGTAGAAAGCAGGTCCTGTAATGTTTGGTGTGCACTGGATGATCTCAGATGATTACTAGTTACTAGCAGCTGATTTACCTGGAAGTTGTCCACTAGCAGCATCCTGAAGTGGTGTGACCTGGAGAAGAGCTCACCGGCGATCTGGAAGGCAGACAGCCGGATCTCAGCATGTTCTTGGTTGAGCTGGGACATCACTGAGTGGTACACATGGTCTATGCAGTCATTAGACACTCTGTGAGGAGTGGAGAACAGGTGCAGAGTAACTAAATTTTATGTTATGAATCACGAAAGAACTTGACATTTGTTGTACTCATAATGCTGACAAAGAATTACACGACTGTATTTAACACGTAACCATCATTTACCATAAATACTGTCAGTTTTCATAAAACCTTTCTTGTATAGACAAATACAAGTTCATACACACTTACATAAATTGCTTTGGATGATAAGGTCTTATTGTATTGAATGATCAGCTGTTTTCTTTCGTTCTTTGTGTAACCTTTATTTGACTGTCCAGTAACTTTTTATCTGTTCGTGGGAAATGGTGATTCTCATCCTGATCCTCTGTGGCAGGCACGTGCAGGGGTTGGGGCTTGAGCTCCTCCCCCTTTCCTGATGGTGCCCCAGGTGGCCTTTTCTTTAGACATTTTTTTTAACGGCGTTCCCTGTGCCTCTCAACAATAACATTTCATTATTAATCACAATTTCGCTAAATAAAATGATCTGGCTTGCATCGGTCACGTGACTACCATTGACCAATGCTCGCCCTTGATGGCAGAGCGCGCTGGTTGCGAGACGAAGACTGATGCAACAGAAACCAGTAAGCAGGGTGTACAGCATACACTGTAGGTAGAGCGTACAGCCCGATCCGGCAGGGAGGTGTGGGAAGCCAGATCAGGTGCCCCCCCTCCTGGCTCTCCTCTCGTCTCTTTTGTCTTACTTGTCTCTATCAACCTTTGAAAAAGTCAGGCTCCAAAACTTTAAAGCTTTAAAAATTTTTACATTTTACTTCTCAGTTACAGTGAATTGATGTCCATCCATCCATCCGCTTCCGCTTCTCCTTTTCAGGGTCGTGGGAGCCTATCCCAGCTGTCTTAGGGCAAGAGGCGGGGTGCACAGGTCACCGGTCTGTCGCAGCCGGGCTAATGCACATACAAAGACAACCATTCGTTTTAAACTCACTCGCGCATTCACACTATGGGCAATTTAGTGTTTCCAATTAACCTATCCCCATTAACTGCATAACTGTGGGAGGAAGCCGGAGCACCCGGGGAGAACCCACACGAACATGCAAACATCAGAGCCCAGCCTGATGGCGGCACTGAACTCGGGACCTGAGGCAACAGTGCTAACCGCTGTGCCACCGTGCTGCGGTGGATACATGGTAGAAAACTAAACAGAAGAAAGTAGAAGAGAAATAACAATGTTAACATAAACCAGTGACACACTAGTTCAACCCTAGCAGAGCCTCCTTGGATGAGGGTGTCTGGTGATAATGGCCAAAAAACCCGATGAATCCAAGGTCCACTACTGACGATGTGTCCCAAGATTTAAATATTATAGTCTAGATCAGATCTCTAATCCCTAAACCAAACCAAGGAAGGTAAAAAATGGCAGATTAACTTGTGATAAAAGGCGAAACACGCCGTGAAGTTGAGGCACACAACGATGCGTCCGCTGTCCTCATAACAGCCACCAAGACTTTCTCCATTTGAAGCAGTGGATTATCAGGCACTGTAACATCTAGTCCTTTTATTGAATTATAACACACAGGAGTATTAAGTTATTATTACACGTTGGTAAATTGTCTTGTGGTAACTGATGAGACAAATGAGCGCGCTGTGTGTGCAACAGCACGACAAATATTACCTGTCCTTTTATTAACTGCACAACTGTGCTGGTCATTAGCTGCTAGCTAACTGAGTAAGAGTGTCATGGGTCTGTAGGTCTGTCCACGCTTTAGGGAACATATTTAGTTTTAAAGCAAGTTCCCTGCCTTTCTTGGGGGTTTATATTTCACTAAAAACTGATATGCATATCCACATAATTATGGATTAAAACACACTGTCTTTCTAAGAAAATACATTAAGAAACAGATTATATTAGATTTACATTGAAAATAAGACAAAATGCTGAATTTACAGCAGCAAAATGATTTTATCTCTACAGTTTAAACATTTAAAAGCTTTCTGCACAGAGCGGAGAGTCAAGCAAATTGAATCATCATAAATACATTATTTAATATTTATTACTTTATTATTATAGCACCTGGAATAATTAATAAGAGAAGGATTCTGGAAAGTGGCCATAGTATGTACAGTGTAAAATGTCACTGTATGTGCATGTGTGTGTGTATTTTATGTGTATAGATTTTTTGGCTGAATTCTTATTTTATTGTAATCTCATTAGACTTGTTCTATCAGCTACAATCTCTCCTGTGGACTTTTTAATCTCTCACGTCTCAGATCATCACAGCCCTGCCCTCCAGCACTATCAGCAGCAACAGTAACCCCTCAACAGCAACGCTGCACCCATCAGGTAACACATGGGCTATGTTTGCATTGCATTGTCCCCACTTGATGACAGTGATATAGTATGAAGTGATATTAAATTAGCTTGTTGATGAATGTGGGTTGTTGTTATTCTATGTGCCCCGTTTGACATTCTCTAGACAATCTGTGCGCTTGATAACAGATCTTGGTAGATTCAGGGTTTCCTTACTCTGATGTCAGATACTTGCAATCCTGACCCCTTTCCAAAGGACTGCACATTTTGGAGTCTTTCATTTGTTTCATAATTCCACTTTACACCTACAACTAACTGTGGAAATGCTGATGCCATACTTGCAGAGCTTTTTGACCTCCTTCATTTTGTCTTGGTTGAGCTGTGGCTGTCCTGATGTGGTCAGTTCCTCCACCAACACCGATAGACGCTCCCTCTGAGACAGCTCCATCACTGTTCATCTGCACACAAAAACAGACCTTTAACTATACAGAGTGACTCAAGTTACACAAAGGTAAACCTTTACTCTGAATTAAAATCTTTCATATTCAAACTGGACAGCTGGCAATGCTGAAGTTGAAAAACTTGTTATTAGCATTTTAGGTACACCGCTGCCATTTTTAAGCAAATCATCTGTTATTTTTCACAGCCCAGTATGACCCACGTTAGTAACTGTGACCTTTATAACAGTCGCTGACACACGCTGTTTGCTACTGGCAGTCAGTATTAATCAGATATTTGTGCAGCGCTTTTTATTTTATAAAATTTAACCAGATACAGAAAAATATACACAATTCAAATCAAAGAAACAAAGAAGTCTCCAGATTTCAGGTGGAGTCATTTAAGGCTAGCATCCACCTAGCTGGCACAATCCTAACAAAACACGAACACAACAGCATCTGCCGGTTAGCTTCTTACCAGCTTGTTCAAACACACTGAACCTCAGGGAGGCTTCTGCCGGTTAACGAGTCCCCTCCGTGAGCCGCTTCATTCATGACAAAGATCAACAACTGAAACGCGGCTGTATTTCTCTGTTTACATACGGCAGCGTTTAGTTATGTCATGCACTTCCTGAAAGCGAACGCACTACCGGTTTGACTTTTCAGAATAAGAGCTTCAAACTGTGCCTGTCGATTGTGCTTTATTATCATTTTACTGACTGTAGCTCATGGCTGTCGCTCAGGGGCGAGTGGGAAACAACAAACAGCTGCTTTTCCTAAACACAGTTCTTAAACATCGGCTGCAGTCTGGGTTTGAGAGAGGCGAGGATTTCCAGTGTTAAAAAAACTTTTTAAAAGTGACCCCTTCAAAATAAATGTTTTGTATGGGGGCGTGTCCAAATCATGGACCTAAGTCAGATTTTACATGGGCCTCCGCTTCTACATTAAGATGTATTATTTACGGTCAGCGACCACAAACAGAATTACTAAAATGTCATTTCTCTTTCCACCTCATGGTGGCAGCACAATCTGATCTATGCGACAACACAGTGATCAAAGTGCCATTCACAGAATCACACAGGGAAGAGATCTATTTGCATTCTTTACCAGATTAATCTTGAAAATCGATCTTGTACCCATGCACGGTTGCAAATACATCTACAGTGTCTGCACACTTACTGAAATACAGCAGAGAGAATAATCTAAAAGAAAGTTTAGTGAACATTTTTGTCTGGAAACACTCTTTTTATTTTTATTGTGGAGCTATAAGTTATTTTCTCGAACATACATCAACAGAACACCATCTTTTTCAAATAAATAAGCACATGAATATGTTGAAGTTATCAGTCCAGAATGAAAATATTACTACAAAACCCACCACACCCCAAAAGAGCTAAATCTATCCAAATTCTACTGCAACTTGCAGCACATTCTTGTTAGTTGCAATAACTTGTATTACCAGACGCTTAAATTTCCTGTAACCTATAGAGTAGAACATATTAGTCTTAGAAAATAACATTTCAAATACAATCCTGTTTTCTTATTTTAAAACAGATGAAAAACGTGTTTCCATTGGGTGTAAGTCAGGTTGCCTAAGTTACATAAACAGTAATTGTGGTGGGGGTGTGGTCTGTGGCTCTGCTGCAGGGAAGGGGTGGTGCAGTGGGTTCAGGTCAGGACCTAGAGGAGCTGGAAGTGGACTGCTACACCTGGCACAGCAGACGATGTCCTTCTGTCTGTATGCCACCAACAACACTCGTTCATGTTACAGTATCATTCACACTGTCCAGCACACAGAGCGGCATGACTTTAAAATTGTGTCAAACAGTTTTTACATCCCCATGTGGTCACAAAGTCTGGTTTTCATGAGGCATACAGAGGGGGATCTGGGGATAAGCACAGCAACTTAAGGGCTAACCTTGAACATGCAATCATACAGTGTTGTTTAATACTGTATGTACAGCACTCTATTCCACATTCAGATACTTCAGCTGCAGCTGTTGTGTTGCTTGACGGTCTTCATAAAATCCGTCGCTCTGCTGCCAGTAAACATCCACGTTTGTGATCAGACGTTGCCGACGCTGCCTTCTGCATGAATCTGACTTAACACCCATAACACGCGCACTTACCCAACCTGATGTCTAATGTTAGAGGAAGTGAAGCCAGTTACATCCTGGCAAAGTGACGTTGCTGCAAAGCACATGACCCAGCTCTTGCTTCCCATCAAACGTGCAGCGGGACTACATGGCCATCACCATGCCACCGTCACTGTGAACCAATTCCTTCTGTGACACATTCACTTGTGACGGCAACCAGAAGAGACTCCATACAGCAACAGGGATCACTGCTCTTTGGGATTAGCGGTGTGTGTGCAGTCAGTATGTGCACATCCTCTATAGCATCTGGAGCACATACCTGGACTACACCACCCTACCCACACACCACCCTACCCACACACCACCCTACCCACACACCACCCTACCCACTCACCACAGTGATTGGAAGAAAAGTAACGTTATTGATGGTAAAATCACCCTCGATGTGACCTCTCAGAGAGGCCATACGAACAGCTTCAGACGTGTGGAGAACATTTTTAGGCAACACGTGAAGTATTTGTTGGTTGTGTTCATGCTGACTAATCGCAGCTCTGTCTTCCAGCTCACTCGTTATGTCCTCAAAATTGTGTTCCTTGTCCACTGCTCTGCGATCGACTGTCTGACCCCAACAGAGTAAAAGTGCCAGCTCCTCGATGTACGCCATGTTCACATGAAACGTCAAAGTGCTGTCCTCTGATCATTTCATTTTCACTTGCAGTGCATCGATGAGTTCTACAATCTCCTCAAAGTAGCTGTTCGCTTCTGCTAGAATTATTTCTGACTGGATCATGTCCTGGTACTCTTGCTTCAGAGAGTGAAGAGAAGCCTGCAGAGAGCCGTCTGAGCGGTACTGATCCAAACACACTGGAGCCATTGCCAACAAAGCCCGGAGAGCCTGCAAAAAACAGCACCGACTCTCAGGGAAAGTTCTTTTTAACAGTTGTTATACTATTAATGCAAAATAGATGAAACCACCCACCTTCTCTCTGTAGTCATTCTCTGAAGACTCCAGGAGCTGTGGGACCAGAATGCACCAGCCCTTCTCCAACAGCTCCTCCTGCAAAGACACCTTAGAGTACTGACGCCGCCGCTCATCATGAGACGCGTCCAGTACTGGGTCCAGACCTCCCTGGAAGATCAGCTCCTGGAAGAGGAGAGAAGAGATCATGAGAACGATCCCACGAGCTGGGCACTGGAAAGTCCCAACCTACTGATACCAACTTTAATCATTCAGATCATTTAGACCTTGTATTTGAAGAGGAGCACTGCACTGGGCTTGGAATCGAGGAGCAGGAGCGTGCGTCTACTGTACCTTCTCAGTAATCATATCGTATAACATGGTGACGATGCGTGTACGCAGAATTCCACTGTTGTCAGTCCTGAACAGCTCTGACAGGACCTGCAGACCCCCACGTGTCAGGAAGTGACGCTGTGCATAGGGGAAGTGACGCAAGAGGGAAGCCACTGCAAACAGAACCTAGACAGAACGAACACACACACATATACACTTCAGCTGTGTGTGTGTGTGTGTGTGTCTGTTCTCATTCTTACAAGTCATGGTAGTCTTGAGAGTTTCCTGGATGAGAGGTGAAGCATCTTCACAAACCTAAACAAGTCGAGTTGCCTTCTTTTGTCAAGCTCTCTGTGCAACGTGTTGTCTCCAACTTTCTGAACATAAACTGAAAGCTGTGTGTGTGTGCTTACCTTTTTTTGGACTCTGAGTTGCTGAGCAGTGGCCAGCGTGGTTAACAGTGTCTGCAGAGCGCCATTCTCCACGGCTTCAACTTGAACTGCTGGATTACTGCAGGACACAAAGTGTGACAACGCTGACAGTCGTGTTTGCTTTCAACTCAAGTGTTTTGCTCAGAAGAGATTTGAGACTTTCAAGACTCATATTCAACTATTTGACTATTATTTGGAACTTTCCGACGCCTGGAAGTTGCTGCTTGGCTTTCAAAATTCTAATTTGGTTTTTTTCCAAAAAGAACCCAAAACCATGATGCACCACATGTTGTGCAGCCAGTGTTCTGTGACATCATACGATTTCATCTGATAAGCTGCAGCACTGTTGGAGTGTCATCACAATCAGGGTTATTGCATTACAACTCAGTCACATAGTAAACAAGAACAAAACACAATGTTGTGCACAATTTGCAGAGAAAAGTCAAAAATGTATTTAAAAACCACCTGTTTTGATTTTAAACAGCTACAGAAGCTCGATGTGATCACAGACACCACTGTACAGCAAGAAGTGACATATCTGCATATCTGGAACATCAGACTAATCAAGCTTAATCAAGTCTAAATATCATACCTGGCTAATGCAGAGCCCAGGACGAAAGCAGAGCTTTCCTGTAATCTGAAGTCAGAGCTGTTCAGACCTTCTAAAAGGAACTGGAGGCCCCCCATGGAGCACAGAGTCTGAGCATTATCCACCTAGCACACATACAAGCATGCATGCAGGGTTAGAGACGGGACAATTCACCACAGTGTGAAACATCATCCTGTGTGTGTGTTACCTGATGCACCAGATATTCGAGCTCCGTCAGGATGCTCAGTCTTTGTTCGCTAGTTGAGTTGCTGCTGTTGAACTGCTCCAGCAGACGCCTCATTATCTACACATGCAAGAAACTTCATTTGACTGAAGCTCAAAACGTTTCCCAGTAACAGCTCACTCAAGGTCACGTCACAATCATACGCGAGATCCAGGAACACTGATGTACCTGAACATCCGTCTCCAGCAGCAGGTCCAGCTGAGCCATGTCTTTCTTCAACTCCTCCATTGTGCGAAACTTAGAAGCCGCAGAGTCCTAGAAGCGCCCAGCGAGCAGTGGAGACACACAGTAAAGGCTCATATGTGGGCACACTTAAAGCTTCTGCTGCCAGCATGTAATCAGAAGTTCAACAGTGGCATTTGAGCTGCTACCTTCTGCTCTGTGTCCTTGCTTGCAAGCTTCCAGTCCTCTTTTATCTTCTTCATGGCTCGTTTCAGCTCATCGGGATTAAAGGAATCTTCTTCCTCCCTGCAAATGTACACTTTTACTGCAAAGCCATTTTATCTTTTCCTACTACTGCCCCCTACTGGGTGCACTTTGCTGGAAGAAGTATTAAAGGGAGCAAAATAAACTACTGTCTGCAGACTGAAGTTTTAGCCTGGACCCCCACCTGTGCTCCTCTGTCCAGTATTTCAGCTGCTCTTCTCCCAGTCTGACCTCCCTCTCACCTGTCTGCAGATTCAGCCTCACGTGAGAACCTTGTGGCACTGCCTGACCTGTGTGTGCACAGACAGAGTTGCTCAAAATAATTATACGACTGCTGAATATTATGAAACTCGTGAGCTCGCAGATTGATGCGACCCAGAAGCAGCAGAAAATGGATGGATGCAAATACAAACCGATGTTTGAGTCAGCTAATGGCTGTGTATATGTGATATAAGGTCCCGCATAAAAGCCTTTAGTATGTGCAGCAAATCATGTCTGTCAATAACAACAATTACACGCTGCCACACTAATGTGAATTTTTGTGATGAAGTACTCTGAAAATGTTTTGAACCACCCTTCCTGTTGCTACATTTAGATTTTCTGCTTTCTGAAAGTCTTTGCGAGCCTCTTTGTGCACTGGCTGCTTTTCACTTCTTTCCACTCTAGACTTTGTACCTTTTGGTTTGTTAAGCCACTTAACACCGAATCATTCAAGCAGAAAAAACACCAGCTAGGTTTAAGGGTGAACCAGACAACACTTTGTTACCAGCTTGTAAGAGACTAAACATCGTTTCGTTGGCCTTATTAACAGGACATCCATGGAGACTGCTACAGCTACTGGGACTCACTCCCTTCTGGAGCCACCAAAGGAACTGCAACATGGGTAAGTGTTGATTGTTGCATCAATAATGGTTATTTAACTAAATATCACAATAACTGTGTTGGCACGATTAAACTTCACAGATACTAAAATGATGATTTTGCATAGAGAAAATGTAACAACCTTTGTGAGGTTACATGAAAGGAGGATCAAATAAATCCCATATGGAGGCTTCATCTATCCTCATCTGAAGCATTAGATCATACACAAAGTTGTGTTTATCTTAGGACTGATTGTCATTATTCAGACCAGAGAAAAAGCCCTGTGAAGGAAAACACTGAGGGCATGACCTGGTTTAAGTGTCTGCCACTGCTCACTGGGCTGGACAACGTCTAATTCATCATCTTCCACATCATCTACTGCCACGTCTTCCTCTTCACCGTTTACAGCCTCATGTTCTGGGTTTTCCACCACGATTAAATCGCCTCCAGACTGCACAAAGAGAAACATGGGAAGAAATTTAGACACCTCCCTGGTTTAATGACAAACACCTTTCTTTGGGTTTCATTCAAACTCAGATGCCATTTGTGATGGTGCTTGATTATTAAACTGCTGTTTTTTATTTTTACTTACATCAGCATACGAGCACTCCAGCTCTAACACTCCAAGTTCTCTCTAAAGAGGCTAATTAACTTCATGGAAATATACCAGCATTTATACAGCGCCTTTATTCTCTTTAGTGTTACTAATCATGCAAAGCCCCTTTAGACTATGAGTCACATTCCTCCTGAGAAGCGACAGTGCACAGAACAAAGGCATCATCGCTTTCAGCATGTAAAACAAGGAGACCAGTTCTGCTGATTTGCAGCCCTTCATTTTTATTCTTTGCATGAGTCCCGGTACAAGATACTGTCATTTATGGTGTACTGCCATAAAAACACTGATGTCTTCATTTGTTACCAGCAGAGATGGGCAGTAGCGTTACTGTAATCCGATTACTTTTTTAAAGTAAGGAGTAAAAGTAAGGGATTACTATTGCAAAAACGGTAATTAGATTACTTTCCCGTAGGAACGCTGCGTTACTGCGTTACTAAAACCGTGATTTTTTGCGTGAATGTCTCACGACAGTGACGTAAGCGAGTG